CCAAATTAAACTACTTCTCGACAATCCCAATTAAGTTACAAATTCACAAATCTAAACCCACAAATGTTATTAATTGACATAGCAAACCAAAAAAAGAAAAATTAATCAATGAACACATTTTACAGTAGATATTCAATCTCTCTCTCACACATGAACAGAGCCTTGATCTATCACTTTCCTAGACCAAAGATGCCAGATCCATATGTGGAGATTACCATGTCAACCAATAGGGGAAACTGCGGTAAAGCAAACAAACTGGGACACTGCCAAGCAAAGTTATTTGAATGGCTACCCATTGAGCTCGATGATGAAGAACAAGGAAAAGGGTTGCACCAAAGGCTACCATCATAGTTGCTACTGAGAAGAATAGGGTGGCAAGACCAATTATCAATCTCCTGTGCAATGATACGAGGAAATCTTGTTCTGCATATCGTGATGTGAGAATTCCTGAAACGATCAACACTGAGGTAGAAGAAGAAAAGAGCGATAATGCATCTGAGATAATAAAAACTAAGAAAGCTGTGGTATGTAAGAAAATAGGAATGCCCGTATCATTATTATTTCCTCCTGGCAAAATGAATGCTGCTGCAAATGTAAATGTAGCAATCAGAGTAGCCACAAGCATACATGACTGTGCTGTGTCCTTCATCCATTTTTCTCCTTCCTTGACCAAGTCCTTGTGCTCCTCGGTAAACAAAGCTTGAGGTGTTTTGCCGTTGTTGTTTCGACTTTCTCTGTGCTTGGGTGGTATGAACTTCTCCACCTCCTGTTATTTGACAGTTTTCGAGAGTTTTAGAGGTATTATGCCACCTTGATGTCACTTCATTTAATTCAAGGTAGAGCCACAAAAATACATTGAAGGCTCTGATTCCATTATTTTAGCGCAGCACTAAAACATATACATTAATACATCATAGCAAAGTGGTTTGTGAGCTGATATATATAACATACCAATCAGCATCATGCAAAGACTCAAATGACATTGTTCAGGACCTGATTGGCTGGAAACAAAATCATGCACACTGGACCCATGCATGGTTTTGCCTCCAACCGATCTGGACTCAAATTGTACATCATCTAGAACTAACTAATGAAGAAGAGCTGACCTTAAACCATTGAAGCTCTCGTTGCATCTGCAAAGCTGCCCCAGACACTCTACTAAGCTGTTTGTAAGGTGATAACTCTGCAGCTAAATGTAACATGTTGTTGCCAAAGTAATCAATATCGTTGAGATGGTTGTATTTTGCACCTGATCCCATATATGAGGTTGAAGACTTTATGTTGTCCATGTACAATTGCAAGTGAAATCAGGTTTCGATTATTATGATCTAGGACATATAATTCTACAGGAATGGACCTGATAACTTCAACAAGCTCAACAATCCCAAATTGGACACCTGTAATAATGTCACCTTCTACTTTGTTAAGATGTGATTCATCCAATTTCTCAATTTCAGAACAAATGACTTTTAGTATTTCTTTTACTTGAATCAATATCAGCTTATTTCTGTACAATTGCTGAATTCCTGAGCAGTTGACAAAATAATTAGAAAAAGAAAAAAAATATCATGACTTAACCAAAGTTCAAATGATCCAATTTTTTTTTTTTCATACCTAATGGTTTAAAGGCACTCCACGCTAGCCGACATAAAAACCAAACAACTGCAACATAAACTATAAGAATTTCACTTATGATGAAAAGTTGAAAATATATATTATTACTAGTAGGAATAAATTTTACCCAAGGTAGCCTCTTGATCTAGGCTATAGAAGCAATAGGGTCTTTGAGCCAACATAACTTGCCACCCGTAACGTATGCATTTCAAGAAACATGAACAACCACTTGATAATGGCGGTTTTATCATCTAAAACTGTGGCCCTGCCAAAAGTCTGCATTATCTGATAATTTTTACTATCTGATTTGGCTTTTGTTAGTATTTAGAATTCTCTCTTTTTTCTTTCAGAGAATTTTTCTAGATCAAGTTAAATGAAGTATTAAGATGGTATGGATCAGCTATGCAAATTTCTTACCCAGCTAGTCTGCTAAAGAGGATCCATGATCATCCCACAACAGGCTGTTTTATTCCAAACAAAGGGACAGGTAGCAAATTTTGTGGATACTTTCAAGAGAGAGAGAAAGAGGAGTCAGGGTCTGCTAGGCTTTGTGCCATATAATACACTAACCAGAGAGAGAGAGAGAGAGAGAGAGAGAGACCTCTGTGGATGATTCGGACTTGATCTCCGTTGCCGGTACTGTCTACGCCTTTGATTTTCACAGCTGGGATAGGGATATTTTCAAGTACAAAAGAAAGAAAGATGAGAGGAAATACTAAATTTGACAATTGTCATAGTAATTAGCCATCGATAATTTCTATTAATTCTCTATGCTAAAAGATAAGTTTCAAGCTTCGAATGATGACAACGAATCCCAAGGCTATGTTTGTTTGAAGGAAAAAGTAGGGAAAGGAAGGGAAAGATAGAAAAACCTATACAAAGTTTGTAAAGGTTTCCTACCTTTTCCTTCCTTTACATGCATTTTCCTTCAAACCAAACATAGCCTAAGATAATCAAAGCAACTTAGCTTGTAAAAACTAAACTCAATCTTCCAATAAGAATCTATACATGAATGAAGGCACCGAGTTGTAGCAGTGCAGTTGGGTCAAGTCATCGAGGCCAATTTCCAAGATTTGCTCACTAAAAGCTGGGGCTTAAAACTTAGCAAAGGACGCAAAAGACTGAGCCAAATCTCCTCAGCAAAAACTCTGAAAACACAAAGTCCAACGGTTCATTAAGAATATTTTCTGTACATGTTTCTCAAATTCCTGATAGATGTTCTCTATGTGTGGTTAGATGTGCTTACAGAGTGTCCGTGGGATTTTGCTTTTAGGAGATATTATTCCAATAAACCAAATGTTTATGGAGAGAGAGAGACATTTTTCCAATTGTCACCTTCTTTTGGAAATTTCCGAGTGTAATAAAATTAGATGGTTACAATGACTAGAACTTATTTTTGGTGTAAGTTTTCTAAAAGATCTGTTTTGGAATGATGGGTAAAATTTCCCTTAAGTTGTCCAAATCACATAATTATGGTCTTTCTATTCCCTAACTAAATATATTAAAATTGTAAGGATGATGTTGTCTGATCTGAGGTGTTTTGAATCAAGGAGACAGTCAGACAAATCCTGCCAATTGGGATGATGCTGAGGTGGAAGGACAAAGACGTCCACCAAGGTAACCTGCAATCACAAAGAGGATCAGAGGCCCAAGGAATTGTTCCCCAGGTAGGTATTCCAACACTCAAGTTAGTAAAGAAGATGGGTGATCAGTTAAGACAAGCCGAAGAGAACAGACTAGTTAGAACCATGGTTTATGCAATGGATACAGAAGTAGGTTGAGAGCCAAAAGTCCTTTACCTTGAGGGGGAGATGCCTTTATATAACAAAACATCCGTGTTGTATTCAAATGAGGTCCGCGGGGTTGTCGGAATGAGGTCGCTCACTAAGGTTCTCGAGAGGTTCCCCTTTCCTCGACGAGGCGTGTCTCCTTCTTCATATAGCACTCTACTTCCTCAGTGTGCCTTTTCATGGCACAACCACAATGAGGTGTGTTGACATGGTCCAAAGATGTCTGCTACGGAGGCTAACACATGGCAGCTTTGGCTAGCTGAGGCACCACTCAAACATCACTCTCCTAGTTCTAGAATTGAAGAGTGTAGTGCTCAATCGCGGTCGAGAGGAAGAGCTACCAAGTCCTCGGTTAAAGAACTTCAATCTTTCTTTGGCTGGTTGAAGCTTCGGCAAACCGGGCCGGCAGGTCATTCGACTGGTTCAACACTTTTGTCGTAGCCCATACGGGTTGGAAGTCACATCGTTTATCTTTTCGAGTTTACACATGTGCAAAGTGCAGCACTACATCTGGACCGTTGGTTGCCTCTATAGTGATCGATCCATTTCAATTTAGCATTTTGAGAGGGAGTGTTCCTTGAAGTTCGGCTAACACTTTGAACTATTTCTTTCTTGGTGTTTCAGGTGACCCAAGCTCTTTCTTTCTTCGGTAGGATGTCTTTGACCTTGCCCTCTTCGTTTTATTCACTATTCAATGGTTTTACTTCAAGGAGTGAGAGGCAATGTAGTCGTCGGTTTAAGGTTGTTGAGGTTAGGGTGCCTAAGGACGAGACCGAGGTCGGGGGGACCAAGGTCCAAAGAGAGGTTGGCATCGAAGAGACTAGTGAGTCCAACGTCGAGGCCGAGGTAGAGTTAGAGGAAGAGCAAGTTCTTGAGATGAGGTTCGAGGAGTGACTCACCTCGGCTCCCTACGGTCTTTCATCGATAGACATGGTCCACATCCGGGAGGCATATAGCATTCTCAAGGAGTTTGAGTTGAGGTGCCTAGTGATATAGGCGAGAGGGCCACCTTGGCCCATCCTAGCGAGATCTGTGTGTATGAGAACAAAACAACATGATCATGAGTCTTAGGTTCCCTTTAGACCAAGGAGTTATAACAATGTTGAGGGGTTATCACGTCCAGCCTATCCAATTGATGTCGAACTCGTTTAGGTACCTAGTCGGGCTACTCCGCTACTATACCCTTTAGAACATACAGGTCACCCTGCCGATGTTTAGGCACTTTTCCACTTGGAAAAGCACTAGCATGGTTGTTACTATTTATCTGTCTGGCTAAACCCTATGGTGCTCATTGGAGCCCCCTCCTCGATTAAGCAATGGAAGGAGGGCTTCTTCTTTGTCAAGCACTGAGATAGCTAGCCATTTTCTTTCGAGTTGGTTATTCCCTTGAACAAAGGACAAGGCTCCAACTGTGGCAAGCTGTCAAGGGAGGAAATTGCAGCCATTAGAAGGGTAGTGCAGGTGCACATTAAGGAGTACATTTCACCTGATATGTTGATTCATGTCGGGTTGATGCATCCCTCAGCTGATCAGTTCCAGTCTGATATGTTTGTCTTGTAACTAGTTCATGACATGCTCCCATTTACTTATTCTATTTCTTGATTGGTGTGATTGCCTTGTGCAGATTCAGACATAGCTGGTGGCACTAAGGATTGTGTTAGGCATATGCAGGTTACGACCATGAGGAAAGCCCAAGCGGTGAGGGCCTCAATCATAATGTTAGGCGCCATGGACTCCTAGCACCGTTCTGTGGAGGTTACTCCTCAGCAATCAAAAAGGCCAAGGTCATTTGAGGGGGTGATCATTGTGGACTCAAAGGGGGTGGCCACGGTGAAGAGGCTGGCATTTATGTGTCACGTTGGACATTCTGGCTTACTAACACCCTAGAGACTGAAGGTGTAGTTGAGTTGTTCACCTAAGGCGTCATGCTCCTAGAGATCAAAAGGGAGACCGACAACCATATCAATAGCTTTCTGGGAAGCTCGGCTATGCATTAAATCATGGCGATAAGTCCTTCCTCGATCTTCTTCTCAACTTCCTATGTCTTCGCTAACTCCTGTTTTGTTGCAGTTGGTGTGCTTAGTGGTCAGTCTAGTTGACCATCTATGTGGTCTTGGGCGCTTGTACAAGGCAAGGGAGGTCAAGAACACTCACTTGAAGGCTAAGTTATCCAACTTAAATAGGGGGATGAATGAGAGGAACAAGACCATCTAGAAGTTGCAAAGCCACGTCCACTATCTCAAGGAGACCCGTGAGTAGCTGAAGAAGGGGTTGGAAGAGGCCAAGGAGAAGGTAGCTCGGACGAAGGGGGGAATCTTTGAGTGCAAAGCCTTGATGACCTATCAAAATGACCTGAACCACTATGCCACCAACTCCTAGTAGGACAACTTCACTCTTTGCCAAAGGCAGGTGATGTGCCTATTTCTCGAGGCTGTGAATGTGGTGTGGGAGTTTGGCCTATTCGATCTCGAGCAGTTGCCCCAAGAGCAAGGAGCTAAGACTGCTGAAGCTACTGTGGCTACCGATGGTCAACCTTGAGTTGAAGACTATCCTATCGAGGAATGAGCGTCCTTTTTTTCCTTTTCCTTTTTCTTGTGCTCTTGTATACCTCTCCATATGTCGAGCTTTTATACTTGTGTGAAACTTTTTGAATATTAATGAAAACTTTTTGTGCTCTTATCCCTTTCCTTGTAGTTTGCATGTCTATTTATTGTGTTAAGCTTGCCGAGTTGAGGTACACCTTGGTCTTTTAGTGACCTAGGTCTCCTATCCTTGGAAAAAATCCTATAGGTAGCCCACTTCGGGTCGTAGTGGTTAAGGTGCTTCTGAGCTCTCGACATTGGTAGGGAACCAGATGGCGCCTGGTCTTGTAGGGCTCATGTTCTCTAGTCATGTTGGCCATGGTTGATTAGCTTTGTCTCAACTCTGTGTCGGGTGGGTGCATGGAGTTCAATGGATGCCCTCTTGCCATAAGTGGAAAGGGCATCATTCCCACCGTGCCTAGTTAGGGCTGGCTGGTTTTTGAACCTTGGTTATTTATGGCCAGTCGGGTCTTCCTCTGTGATGTGACCATCAGGCCTCGGCTACCAAAGGTTGGCCAGTCCTTTGAGTGTTTCACGATCATTAGGCCTCAGCCGTTTGGAGGTCGAATGGGCCTGTGTGTGGTGACTGTTAGGTCCCAACTATTAGAAGTCAATCGGGCTTGTGTGCGATGATCATTGGGCCTTGGTTAGGCCTGTATGTGTACTACGTGATAATAGTGTTTACTTAATAGCTCATCGGTATTGGTTTGCCATCAAGGTCTTCCAATGTGTACGAGTTCGGTCCAAGTACTATAGTTACCCTGCACGGTCCTTCCTAGTTGGGTTAGAGTTTGCTCTAGGTCGGTGCATAGACATTGTGTGATGGTCTATTTTGAGCTTGGCTCAGAAAACTTTGAACATCTTATCAATGAACTGTGAGCCAATGTCAATGATGATCACTCGAGGAATGCTGAAGCAGCAAATGATGTTTCTCCACAAGTATCCCTGAATGTTTTGAACGTTGATGTGGGCTAGGGGATCGACCTCGAACCACTTGGTTAAGTAATCCATGACGGCGAGGAGGAGCTTATTCTGCCTAGAAGCAATAGAGAATGCTCTGAGGATGTCCATACCCACTAAGCAAAGGGCCATGGACTAGGAATTGTTGTTAGCGGGACCATTGGGTAGTGGTGCAAATTGGAGTGTCTAGCCATCACATTTTTGGGCAAGCTGGGCTACGTCCTACTTCATGGTGAGCCAAAAGTAGCCTTTCTAGAGGGCTTTGTATACAAAGGTTCAAGCACCAGGGTGGTCTTCACAAATGCCTTTATCCATTTTCTTAACGACATAGTTGGCTTCAATTGGATGGAGGCACCTCAAGTATAGTAGAGTGTGCAATCTGCAATAGAGATGACCCCTGATGAGGTATCGAGCTGCTCTATGAGTGAGCTTCTTCGCTTCTGTCAAGTCTTCGTGTAGTGTATCGTTCTATAGATACTGCAAAGTGGGGCCCATCTTGGATGGCTCCTTTTTCTCCAAGAGAACTATCAAGGCCACTTCAGAGATGCTGGGGTGAGCTAAAGTGTCCATCCAAGTTGTGCTCCCAAGATCTGTTTGCGACAAGCTTGTGAGCTTAGATAGGGCATTAGTTTGGATGTTCTTGGCTCTCAGTATCTGTTGTATGGCAAAGAGCTCGAACTGGCTTCACCACTAAGTGGGAGTCACAGAAGAGTTCGACTCTCTTTGCTCTGACTTCTCATGCAAGGTAGAGTCCGGCCATTAGGGCTTCATACCCTGCTTCATTGTTTGAGGTCTTAAACTCAAATCAAAGTGTGT